AATTCCTAGTCATTATGATAATTATTCATATTCATATGGGCACATTCTAGCTTCTAGGTGCAATTTTTTTGTAGCTCCACTGTGCTTTTTTTTTCAACGCTATCTCACATTGAAAGGGAAATCTTAGTGAAGTGTTAATCCAAACATTCATCAATATGTAGCAAAGTATGTATTCCGACTGAACATTTCCGTTTTGAGATTTTCTACTAAAAGCTTGTGATCGTGTAACAGTTCTTAAATGGGTTTTTAAGTAGGTAACTAGATTATTAAGGTGAATTTACAAGTTTTATGATGAAAGCGACTAAATAGATCACAAGGAATGTGAAAGATTGAAACTTGATGTAGAGAAAACTAATCGAAGGTACCGAATTTCCAAAGGAAGAATTAGCATAATAGCTTTCTAGAAGTCAACAAAAAGAAGGGGATATGTGATAACAAGCTGAAAAAGCAAAATGTAATGGAGAAAAAACAAATAGGTTCAAATACTTACAGTAATGGGATGAAGACGCTCCTCAAAAATCTCCATCAATCTCTCATGCGAACGATTCTTTCGATTGGCAATATGATAGTATATAGCCAATGATATACACTTGATTGTGTTTTTCAGATTTGGTTGACTAATTGTAGAATCGTCTAGAGGGATGATTTCAAGATAAAACATATGAAACAATCGCGAATTACACAGAAGAAAAAGAAACAAAGAGTTGAGAAGTAGAGAAAACACACCCATATAAATAGTACTACAACTACTTGATTTCCGCAAACTTTTCGGAAGCACACCAGGGAAACTGCCACCACCAGCCACAGCGTCGAGCATGTAGCAAGACCGACGATTGTCTTTTACTAAATTTTTACTTTCTCATTTGAAAGCAAGAAAATCAATGGAGAAGAATCAGAAAGAAAGAAGCGACGGGATAAAACATCACCCAAAATTTGCTAACTTACATTTCATTTCACTTTTACTTCGTTCCATAAATGTTGGGCGAGCTGTAGGATGGGTGGATGGGTCTTCTTCCCCAACTAAAAGATACTTTTACAATAAAAGAGAGAAAAATTTCCACTAAGATATAAATAAGCCTCACTTTATATTATTTGATCGTTTAATCATTATCGGGAGTATAACCGAATGATGCAGTGAAAATTTAATGCATTTTCAATAAAGAGTGGAATTTTCTCAAGCAAACGCTCAGCTCGCAGAAGACTATGTTTGGGACGACATGACCCAACGTCGTACAAAGGTTTTTTGGCTACGGGTGACCGTTAGCGAGCCAAGTGCCAAGACCCATCAAAGCTACTATCTGTTTTCAAAAATTTCTTGCCTAAGCAGAAATATTAGCCAAGTTTTGCAATAAGACAGGAGAGAATGAATCACTATATGAGTCAACTTTCCAGATAAACATAACAGACTACATAGCATCAACATGAAGTACCGATGAGTAAAACGTCTAAATATTCACTAAGAAACTGTCACCTTCAGGAACCTCTCTTTCACTGATATGTGGTAGGAAGTTTGTGGATGTTTCATCGCGAGGAAAGGACTGATTTACATATTGGAACTGAAAGTATCGTTGCCACATTTACAGCTGTGTTGCCAGATAAAAGAACAAATGAAAGGCAAGATACAAACAAGAAGACAGATACTGCACAAAAACATGATAAGAACCTCACTCACCTCCACCTGATTGTTTCTAGTGTATTGTCCTTCATATGCGTAGTTCTTTTCGTCTCTCGGCACTGTACCATTATTCCGGAGACAACAAGTCGAGTTACCCATAACCTGCAGTAAGTTTCAACATGTTGAGATATACGTAATGCAACAAAGCATCAGGAAGGTTTGCGGAAACATTGCGAAATGGGCTTCTAAAGTTTCAAAGGGTGGAGTCGTCTATAGCAGGTAGTTCTTCACTGTTCCAAAAATGCCTAAACGTGACAAGTGACTTTAGTGAGCAGGATAAACGAAACCGTTTGTGTCCTTTGTTGAAGTTCAAAGGCGATTAGAGAGCAGATTGAGTTTAACTTCAGGAGTTTAGGATAAAAGTAAATATGAGTATATTACATCCTGGGTGAAATATTTATCGATGTCCTTTTCTGCTATAAATTCTATTTAAAGCAAAAGCATGCAAAAATAGCATCAGATTCTCAAGAAAGACTCGAGCTGTACCTAATCATCGCAAACAGAATGACCGAGACAAGGAAAGAAACTTCCTATTCAACTG